TCCTAGCTAGACAGGAATCATAGCTAGAAGGATCACACAGTCTAAGGCCAGCCATAGGCAAAAAGTGTGAGCTCCTGTCAAAAAAATAACTAAAGCCAAAAAAGGGCTAGGGGCATGGCTCAAGTAGTACAGCACCTGCCTAGCAAGTGCAAAGCAGTTCAAATCCCACTACCACCAAAATATAAGTAAGTGAAAGAAAGGAACTGATACTTACAAAGTAAGTATCTATAGAATACTTATTTTATGGAATAAATTAGGAGTTTAAAAATTTAAGGTATAGTTATTAACAATTAAGTAATAAAAAGGAGGACAGGGAAAGAAAAAAAGAAGGAGAAAGTATATAGGATGAAGTTTAAGAAATAGTGAGAAATAAGATGCTGAAATATGTACAGAGGAAGACAAAACAGAAAGATAAAAACACAACAGCAAAAAAGAAAAACAGAACAAAGCAAAGCCTGTCCATGTTCCTCTTGGTGGAGGAGGATGGTAGATCCCCATCCCAGGTGGGTGTCTTGCAGTTTACTTTGAGGGCAGGGCAGCTGTTTTTTCCTTCTGAAGTCCCAACAGGTTGGACCAGAAAGGACTGTTTGGGCCAGGCATGTGGCACCACCCAACCCTGCAAAGAAACAGAAGGAGCTGTTTGCAGGTTGAGTGAGTTCTCCTCCTGGCTCCTCTTGAAGGAGACTCCCAGCTCTCTTTCCACTCCTGGTAATAACTAGGTCACACCTGGTGATGGCTCACAGAAGCTCTGGCTTGTTCTTAGCACTCTCCATGCTAGTTCTCAATCTGTGACTCCGATTCCAAGTCCCAACCAATTTCTTGGGTCCACGATGATTCTTGGGCTGGGTGTTTGCTCAGTCAATGGAAGGGGCGCAGCCTTGAGGTTTGGAAATCTGAAGTGCAGGGTTTTCTGCAATCCCAGGCTGAGGTTTGTCATGATACCATTCCTAAAATGCCCCCTTGGGGGCACCAGTGAGCAAGCAGGAGGTGCTAAGAGCTCTGCTCCAGTGTCTGTGCTGCGCAAGACGCAGATCACATTTTTTTGCAGAGTGTCAGTTTGTGTGCCTGTGGGATTTCCTGAGGAGGCTTTCCCTTTTTTCTTTTCCTACAGCCCCACTGAGGGAGGGTTCTCCCTTCCCTACTGTTTTGCATAGCACTCTATGTTAGGGTTCTTTGTTTCTTTAACAACTCTGAAGTTCAGTATTTCTGGATTTCCTCTGGTCTCTACTGTTCCTTGCTGTCTTCCCTTGCTTTTCCCCTCCACCTCCACCTTCTCCCTACAACCACACACTTGGAGTTTGGTTTCAAATTCATGAAGACACGGGAAAATAATGAGTGTGTCTACTCTGCAGTCCTGTGGGACCAACCAGTTGTTGTGTTTTGCTTTATTTTTGCTGTCCTAAGGATTGAACTTGGGGCCTTTGCTCTGTCATGTGAGCCATGCCCCTGCTCCTTTTGTTTTACTCAGGGCCTCATGCTTGTTAGGCATATGACTGACCACTTGAGCCACATCCCCAGCCTTTTTTGCTTTGGTTATTTTTAATATAGGTCTCACATTTTTTGCCTGTGCCAGCCTGGACCTTAATCCTCCTACTTATATTTCCTACGTAGCTAGGATGGCAGGCCCATGACACCATGTCCAGCTTGTCTGATTGTTAAGACAGGTCTTGCTAACTTTTTGCTTAGGCTGGACTCAAACCTCAATCCTCCAAATCTCCCAGTTCTGACTAGCTATGATTTGAGGCATGGTATTTTAGTTTTGAGATAGGGTCTCACTAACTTTACACAGGCTGGCCTTGAACCCAATCCTGCCTCTACCTCCCAAGAAGCTGGAGTTAAATGTATACGCCACCACACTCAGCCTTCAGTTGTTTTTAATCAAGGTATCGCCTATCCCTTTAATAGTTTTATTTCACTGAAAGCTGCTATCCTGGATATTTTGTTTATTGTTTCTGTATTTGGACATGGGACCTTTTACCTGCTATTTTTCTTTGTCTTCTTTGCTGAAGACTCCGTGCAGCCTTAGAAATTGTGCCAGGCTTGCCAGCAGTAGTAAGTGCAGTGGTCTCTGCCCTACAGGTGGTTAAGTATCAGCTGTACCCATCACTGAATCCATGTTGGGGTCTAAAAAAGCCTGCCTGCGTTCTTAAGCCTCAAGAAGAAATGCTTCTCCCACTTATTGAACCACCCTGTTGAGGTCCTCAGATTCACGTTCAAGTTCTATGCAGATGCTCATCTACTTATGATGGGGTTATGTCCTGATAAACACATGGTGAGTTGAAAATGTTGAAAGTCAAAAGTGCATCTATGGCAGGTGTGATGGTGCATGCCTATAATCGAAGGAAGGTTGACAGTTTGAGGCCAGCCTGGGTAACATAGTGAGACTCTGCCTCCAAAAAAAAAAAAGTGCATTTAATACACGTAATCTACCAAACATGAGAGCTTAACCTATCCTAAGTGTGCTGAGAACACTTACATTAGCCTCCTGTTGAACAGAATCATGTAACACAAAGCCTACTTTAAGATAAAGTGTTTTAAGTAGCTCAGGTACACACAGATGGACACTTTGCTGCAGGGCTGGGAGTTTATTTATTTATTTATTTTTGGTACTAGGAATTGAACCCAGGGCCTCGTGTATTCTAGGCACTCAACCACTGAGCTACATCTGCAGCCCCAAGGACTAGAGTTTGAACTCAGGGCTCACACTTGCAAAGCAGGCACTCCACCACATGAGCCACACTCCAGTCCATTTCTTTCTGGTTATTTTGGAGTTGGGCGGGGTCTCACAAACTATTTGTCTGAGCTGGCTTTGAACCGAAATCCTCCCAATCTCAGCCTCCCAAGTAGCTAGGATTATAGGCATGAGCACTGTGTCCAGCAGACAGGCAGTAGTGTTTAAAAACACAATATCCAAAAAATGCTGACAATGAAGTATACTGCAGAGCCATAGTGTAACCCTCAGGATTATGAGCTGACTGGAAACTGGTTTGCTGCTATTGTCTAGCATCAAAAGAGAATGTTACTGCATACTGCTGGGCCAGGAAAAGAGCATAATCCAACACTCAAAGCATGGCTTTTACTGAATCCACACCCCTTTCACACTATCAAAGAGTTGAAAACTCCTAAATCCAACCACAGTAAGTTAGGGACTGTCTATATTTATTCTCTCTCTGGTGCTCTTTACTGATCCTCTGTCCTCTTCCCAGAGGGAAACAAAGTCATTTACAAGCTTTTCAGTCACTTCTCTTACAAGCTCAAGGTCTTTCTCATTCCTTCCTCGTCCTACCTGACTGAAACTACAGCAAAGTTTGCTGGTAGGTAGGCAGGGAGGACAGTAGGGGCAAGAGTTCCAACAGTCATCACCCAGAAAACTCCTCTGCCCTTAGAATGAGTGAAAAATATTCCAATTTGCCATCAAAATAAATGTGTTCAGCTGGGAGTGATGGTGCACACTTGTAATCCCAGCTATTCAGGAGGCCGGAAAATCTCAAATTTGAGGCTAGGCCAAGCAAAAAAACCTGAGACCCTATCTCAAAAACAAAACACAAACAAAAAGCTGGGGTGTGGCTCAAGTGGAAGAACACTTACCTAACATACACAAGGCCCTGAGTTCAGTCCCCAATATTGCAAAAAAAAAAAGGAAAGAAAGAAAAAGATAAGTGTTTTCAAAGAGGGTAAAGAAAAATCTGAAGAGACTTTCAAAAGGTATGAAAAAACTCCATTTGTTCACAACTACCTAAGTGACCACTATGTACAGAGCAATGGCTTGGAAACAGAAACTGGTCACCAGTACTCATCCACATGGTAAGCACTTGGAAATAGGCCACAATGATTTTCTGTTGATGTTAGTGTAATAAAGTTTTAAAATTTTAAAAGAGCAAGCTTTTTTAAAGCTGGCTCATGCCTATAATCTCAGCTGAGATCAGAAGGATTATAGTTGGAGGCCAGCCTTGGCAAACAGTTTGTAAGACACCCCCCCATCTCCAAAATAATCAGAGCAAAATGGACTGGAGGTGTGGCTCAAGTGGTAGAGCACCTGCTTTGCAAGTATGAAGTCCTGAGTTTAAACCCCAGTATCACCAAAAAAAAAAAAAAATTTTTTTAAAGAGTGAAATGAGAAAGTGATTCCCACTATGTATTCTGTTTATCATTAGACATACTTTTCAAAGAAGAAATGGCCATTTAAAAATAAAAGAAATTAAGGTCCTCATAGGTATTAAGTATATGAAAATTGTTATCTTCTTTTTCTTCCTTTAAGCTATTTTGGTATAGAAGTTCAAGTAAAAACTGAAAAGAAAGACAGGCTTCCCCTTCCTCTCATTTTTACCAGGCCTTGTTCATTTCCTTACATCTTATTCTGCACCTGGGAAACCATCAAGCTGTGTCATACCATAGCTATACGTTCACACACAAAACCCAAGCATATGCATGTTCTCCTTTCAGCTGAGGAAGTTCAGGTCATCCAACAAACTCAAAATTCAGTTGAAAGTATAGAAAATGCAACTTTTTATAAAAGATGAAACCAATAAGAACAGAAGAAAGTTAAAAAAACATCTGTTAAGGCAAAGGAGAAAAAGAGAAAACAAAAAAAGTGTCAGCATGAGTAGAATTTAGCAAGGTGTCAAAGATGGAGAAAAGGTTAGGGAAGCAGAGCCTCTGTGGCCACAAGACTCTCCACGCATTCCACTGTCAGTGTCCCCACTACACCCACCAGTTGAAGAGTTAGCCCTGAAGTCCAAGTCAAAGCTGAAAGATGACTGACATGGTCCTCATGCTGCGAAATAGAAAGTTTCACTTGTTTTCCAGCAGCCAGACTGGGGTGCTTGGGGTGTTTACCAAGAGTATCAAGAACATGGCTAGGTGGAGCTCAGGGGAGAACGCCTGCCTAATGTCACAAAGACTCTGGGTTTGGGTACCAGCTCTAGTGGAAGGGGGTTGTTGTTATCAGTTGTCAAAGACAGTAACTGCAAATCTAATAAAGGATTTTTTAAAGTACATACCTGTTCTGGGCCACAAGGCATTCACAGCAATTTCACCTTTAAATTCTTCTGCCATTCCAAGCACACACATAGACATACCATACTTAGCAATGGTATAAGCTGAAAGAAATCACAAAGAATAATAATTTAACTGAGAGACAAATTCGCTTGTGAGTAGAAAAAAAACAATATCTGCCAGGCATGGTGGTACATGCCTGTAATTCCTGCACTCCAAAGCTGGAGGAAGGAGACTCTCTAGTTCAAGGCCAACCTGGGCTACATGGTGAGACCCTGTCTGAAAAAAAAAAAGAAGAAAAGAAATAACCAATTTTTTGTTACTATTTTCTTCCTGATATATTTATGAGAAGTCTTTTCAATAATATAAAATAAAATTTTTCAAATGCGCTGCTTTTTAAAGAATAATCTTAAATAATTAAATAGAGATGAATCAGTTTTGTATTATTTCCACCTTAATATTTGAATAAAAGGAAAAAATAATAAAATTTTCCTTTTCTTAATACTTTTGGAAATCAAGTATTGTTTGGGTTTTCTGTTTTTTGGTAGGACTGGAGTTTGAATTCAGGGCTTTGTGCTTGCAAAGCAGGCACTCTACAGGCTTGAGTCACACCACCAGTCCATTTTGTTCTGGTTATTTTGGAGATAGGGTTTTGGGAACTATTTGCCTGGACTGGACTTGAACCTCCCAAGCGAGTCATTGGCACCCAGCTTAAACTACAGGATTTTTTTGTGTTTGTTTCCTTTTGAAGTTTGGGTTATCTCTGTGTTTTTTAGTTTTAGCATCTACTAAGGGAAGTGGGTAATTTGGACTCTGTTTGAGTACCCTTGTCACTGCCATTCTGCTTCTAATGCTTTGGAGCTGGGGATCTTTCTTGGAGGTTCAAATGTGGCTGCCTTTGTTGGGCCAGAGATTGCCTGTGAAAGAGAACCAATGCCCTTTGTTCTACTGGGATTCAGTCCCAGTAAGCAAAAGGTTACCAGGCAAAGGCTTAGGGCGATCTTATGAATTACATTTAAAAATCACTTTAATATCTAATATATACTACCTTTTCTTTTTGGCTGTACTGGAATTTGAACTCAGGGCTTCACACTTGTTAGGCAGGTGCTCTACCACATAAATCACTCCACCAACCCTTTTTTGGTTGGGTATTTTTTGAAACAGGGTCTCTCAAACTATTTGCCCAGGTTGGCTTCAAACCACAATCCTCC